AAGGATTCTAGGATTTGTTTGTAGAAAGTGCTGATGGGATGGGAATTCTCTGCAGTGCAGAGAGCAAGCAGCAAGATTTTGCCCTGCAAGAAAGGAGATGAGAGTACAGAGTGAAAGAGTTTTGCACATGAGTGTAAACATGAATGGGGAATCTATGTACATAGTTGTATAAGCAAGGGCAATCATGCTTGCATTGTACTATGACATGCATACATCTGTGGTATGTGTAGCAAGCTCAAGTATGTGTGTAGCTTCGGAGAGAATTGTGCTGCCAAAGAAGATTTTGTTCTATGCATGTATAAAGGCATATTTGGTGCATAGCCTAGAGCTTTTCTGGGTGCATTAGAGCAAACAGTGTATGGGAATATAAATTCATCTTTATATGAAATATAGTGTGTATATGTAGATATGTGTGTACACACACACACACAAATATATATAAATATACTCTCAGAAAAAGTTTGAGTATACCAACAAACATTTTATATAGAATGTGCTAATATCTATGAAAGGGAGTGTGTAGTTGTATTTAAGTGCAGATATATGCGAAATTTTGTTTGCCTGTCAGTCTGCAGTTAAACCAACTTAAACTTAATTGAAATTGGTAAATAAAGTTCCATTCAACAATTACCTTATTTGTACTGTAAAGTAGATTGGGGCATGGTGGTGAGTGTGTCAAACCGCAGAGAGATATGGGCAGGCAGCGTGTTCTGTAATTTTCAAATTGAGTTATGGAAGGAATGAATAAATAGGTATAATCTCCCCAGAGCCCATATTCATATAGGGCCTATAAAATTGCATATTGTACTGAGATGAATACGTTAAATCATGGTAGGCTGGCTATGGCTGGGAGAAACCTAATTTGTGGAAGGAGGGGATTTGTGTGTGTGTTCGTGTGTGTGTGTGTGTATGCATGCATGCAGTTGAAGTTGAAGTGAGAAAATGATTTCTGCACACTTGTGCACATTAGCCTGGGGGAAAGTAAGTTGAAGATTGCCTGCAAATATTTACTTGTACATAATTATACATGGGACATACCTCAGAGGACAGTGTCAGATCCCACGTGGTGACAAAGCATTTGGTAATGATGTAGCAGCTAAAACTCCTGGACAATCAGAGTTTGCGTGAGTTGTGTGCATACCAATGGAGGGATGTGAATGAATGTGAAGTGTTCAGTATATGTGCAAGGGAGCACATGACTGTTTGCGTCATTGCTTGCTTTCACTGTTTTCTCAAGGGACTAAAATAGGAGAATGGTATAACAGAAGGCACATGAATGCCGAGCCTGAAATCTCAGCAGAATCCTTTCTGTTCTGGGCTCTTTATTCATTCATCCAAATTACTGATGTTAGAATAGTTAAAACATTCAAAATTCTGCTGAAAAAGAGCAAAAATTCAAGAGGGGGGGGAGGAGGAAAAGTTTTACCATCTCAAAATTCCCTTGTAACAACAAGGTTTTAAATCCCTAGCTTGCTCCCTAAATGGCACAATGGTTTATGGCCAAGTTGCAATGGTTCCTGTTCTTTTACAACCTATAATTCCCAGTGTGAAAATGCAACCCAAAAAATGGAACAAAGTTGACCTCAAAAGAGCTGTGACAGGATCACTGCAATTCTGCCCAAAAATAAACCAAAATTCACACCAAGGGAAGAGACCTGCAACCTGCATTCACTATGCAGATTAAAGAGCAGATACAGTCAGAAGGGTGGGAAATTTCCTTGTTTTTTTTTTTTAATTCAGGCTCAGAGTCTCAAATCAAAATGTTGACTTTCGTGTCACCTAAGCAAATTATGTACCTGCATAATGCAACTGTCACTTGGTGAATGCTAAATAGGTATTATATTGTAATAATAGATTCCAGTTCCTCCAAGGAATAAAGCAAGTTCTTTTTGGTTCTTCCCTCCCCAGTCATTTATTGCATCAGTTTTACAAGGTAGATTAGTCTGAAAAAAGAATAATTGACCCAAAATCATGGAATGAATTTCATAATTGAGCAGCTAATGGAATCCCTTTTTTTTTCTACTCCACCATCAGCTGAGAATTAATACAGAATGAATGGCTAGCCCAGAGGCGTCCAACCTTGTCAACTTTAAGACTCGTGCACTTCAACTCCCAGAATTCCCCACTCAGTCATGGCTGGGGAATTCTGGAAGTTGAAGTCCACAAGTCTTAAAGTTCTCAAGGTTAGATGCTTCTGGTTTAAAACCTTAGGCTATGACTGGGGAAGCATACTTATGAATCCTTTGTTTGCTATAAATTCTCAGAATGATCTTGATCATAGAGGAATATGAACTCACATCAGTTTCTTTTGAATAAAGATAAGACAAAAATGTAAAAAAAAGAGGATATTGGGCAATAGTCGTATTATAGTTCCAGGAAAAACTTCCTTCAAGAAAGGCAATGTTTCCCATCCTCTCTTAGGATGCATGCAGAGACAAGGCTGGCTATCCCTACAAGATGTTGAGATTTCCCTGGTCTCTGATGCCTTTAAATCAAATTGTGGCCCCTAAATGCTTCAGCTATGCTAGCCAGAATTGTGGGAATTCCATCCCACCCTAGCTGAACGGTATCTTAATGAAGAAGGCTGCTTTAGAAGGTGGCCAGACAAACATTTGATTGATGGCTATTAAACATGGTGACCAACTATTACGAATTCAAGGAGGAGGCGTTGTTGAGAGTGGAGATTTGATGAAAACTCCACATCCAGTCAAATGGGAAGAAAACATTGGGAAAGACGTCCCACCAAGGAACCATGATCCCCCAAAATGGGCAGACACTAACAAGCTAAAACCTGTGTTGGGAAACAATCTGGATTTATTGGTAGACAGGCAATAGATTAGTTACAGTTTTTGGCTTTTATGACAGCAAAAAGAAAGCATATGTATGCAACATACATACACAAACATGGTTAGCACCCCCATCCATAGTGAATCAGATGCAGATCAATCCATTTAATTGGTTATAGAGTGTAATGAATGAAGTACAATAAGCAGATAAGCCACTATCTCAGGATACTACTTAAAATAGATCTCTGTAATGTAGGGGTTGATATACAACAATACAGAAATGATAGGGGGGGAATTACTCACTGCTACATCATTTTGGGCTTTTTTCTTCCAACAGTTTTTAGACCTGACTTAGATATATTAAGATGGCAGAAACGACTGCAGGGGATACCATTTTTAAATGCAGATCCTTCCATTTGCTAAAAAAAACAAAACTTTTGCATAAGAAGAAAACTAGGCTAACACATCAGTATCTAATCTAATTGTCTAGCTAAAGTATGAGGATTTTTTAAAAAGTGGGCTACAATTTAAAAATGAAGTATGTCCTTCCCTCTTAGCCCATACCTCAGTTTTCCCTCACTAACATTGGGATAAGTGGGGTATTTGCTGTCTCTTGGGATATACTTAACAGCTATTTATTGAGAAGCGGGCAGTTATTGGGAAGGGACTGACTTTTGTAGGGTAGGTTGTTCCTTTTCTGGAAGAGTTTGTTCTTTTACAATTATGAGTTAGCACTAATGTTTTACTTCCCTGTCCTTTCCTGTTTGACATTCTTGTCTCCCTGCTGTTCCTCTGTTTGCTTCTTCCCTGTATGTTTGTACCTTCTGCATCTCTCCAGTATGTGGCCTTTGCCTCCCTCTTCTTCATCCTCATCTCCATCACCACTTTCTGCTTAGAGACCCATGAGGCTTTCAACCACTTCAAAAACAAGACAGAAATAATAAAGACGGGGAACAGTACCAGCGTAAAGGTGGACTATGAAATGGAAACAGAACCGTTCCTCACCTACGTGGAAGGGATGTGCGTCATCTGGTTCACCTTTGAGTTCCTCATCCGGGTCATCTTTTGCCCAGACAAAATGGAATTCATCAAGAGCACCCTCAACATCATCGACTTTGTGGCCATCCTGCCCTTCTACCTGGAAGTGGGCCTCAGTGGCCTCTCATCCAAAGCAGCCAAGGATGTGTTGGGCTTCCTGAGGGTGGTAAGATTTGTCCGGATCCTAAGGATCTTCAAGCTGACCCGGCATTTCGTAGGGCTGAGAGTCCTAGGTCACACGCTGAGGGCCAGCACCAATGAGTTCTTGCTCCTCATCATCTTCTTGGCCCTAGGGGTCTTGATCTTTGCCACCATGATCTATTATGCTGAAAGGATCGGTGCTGACCCAGATGACATAACGGGCAGCAAGCACACCGTCTTCAAGAACATCCCCATTGGGTTTTGGTGGGCTGTAGTGACCATGACGACTTTGGGCTATGGTGACATGTATCCTGAGACTTGGTCAGGCATGTTGGTGGGAGCACTGTGTGCCTTGGCTGGTGTGTTGACCATTGCCATGCCTGTGCCAGTCATCGTCAACAACTTTGGCATGTATTATTCGCTGGCTATGGCTAAGCAGAAACTACCAAAGAAAAAGAACAAGCACATCCCACGAGCCCCCCAACCTGGCTCACCCAACTACTGCAAACCAGACATGCAGTCCCCGCATCGCAGCAACCAGGGTGACTCATGCCCCTTGGCTCAAGAGGAGATAATCGAGATTAATCGGGCAGGTAAGGGGGAGACAGAATGGGCAGAAATAGTTAAATTAATTACATCTGAGTTAGATCTATATACTGTTTGTGATTTTCAAATATTCTAGCATCTAACAATTTCTCTTCCTGCTAAGAAATTAAAACTATAGGGAAGGAGGCACAGGTAGTCCTCAAACTTGCAACCAGAATTGCAACCATAATTTCCGTTGCTAAGGAAGGTGGTTATTAAATGAGTCATGCCCAATTTTGCAACCTTCTTTCCACAGTCAAAACAAATTGCTGGGGTTGTTAAGTTAATCAACTGTCATTAAGCAAATTCAGTCGTCCCCCCCCCCATCCCTCCTTGGCTTTGCTTGCTGGCTGGAAAAGTCACAATTGACAATCACATGATCCCAAGAAGTTGCAACTATTGTAAATATATGCCAGTGGCCAAACTCTTGAATTTTGATCATATGATTGTGGGGATGCTGCAATGGTCGTAAGTGTGAGGACCTATTGTAAATGAATTTTTTTTTCTGAATCGTAAATTCAAATAGTCGCTAAATGAATGATTGTAAGTTGAAGACTATCCGTACACAGAACCAGGTAGATTTAGGATTCCTGAGGATCTTAAAGAAATGTTTTTGGTTCACATGGGCTTTTTTACAATGTTGAGTCTCACTTTTGTACCACTTGGGAACAGAGGAGCACATCCAAGAATTATTTCTGCTTCCCAGCACTTCTTAAGCAGGCTGAAGGTGAAGAGTCCAACAGTGTCTGGGATACTAAGATTGTCCACAAGTGTATATGCTAGTTTGTGTCTGTGTCTTACAAGAAAGATTAATAGGAACATTTTCCAGGTGAGTTTACTATTAGCACTGATGCCTCTCATTGAAAACATCTTGGTAAATGTGTGATAAAATTTTACGTCAAAAATCAACTACCATGTGCTTGCACAGACCACAACTATCATCCTCAGAAAGTTATCTTCATCCCTCAAATTACATTAGGGTTTTTTTTTTAATGAAAATTTGTGAAATTGTAAAAATGTGGCAAGATTTAACTGCAGTTTGCCCAAGAATGTTATACTCATAAAATCATGTATGATAGTGCAAAAAGTTCATGCAAGAACTTACAGCTTTGTAAGTTTCTAAAATAGGTAGATTTTTTTAAAAAAAGATCAGATAATGTTGCTTTTTTTTTCCAAACAAAGCTGAAATTATTATTCAATCTGTTTTGGAATGGAGTTATGTAACGCATTAGATTGCTAACCATAACAACAAAACAATAATCAAGAGCAAAAAGATAAATGTCCCATGTATGTAAGTATAAATATTATAAGCTCCTGTTTGTGTCTCAAGTGCAAAAGTTCAAAATGCATAGACAGCATAGAGTTTCTTCTGTGGGAAACTGTTTAATTTCTTAAAGCAAATTATTAACCTTTACTCATCATTAAGTGAATCTGTGCCTCTCCAGATGTTGCTAAAATTCACGAACCTGGGCAATAGTGACGGATGTTGGGAGCTGTTGTTTTAATTCAGAAACATCTGGAGACCATATCTATTTAAGATCATGAAGGCATAGCTGGAAAGATCTTGCCAAGTAAGAGACAAAGAATAAAATTTTCCGTGGCCCAAGGATGATTTTTTTAGTTCCTTACCTTGCTTCCAAGGACAATTCCTTTGCCCTTCCTACTCTTGACATTTTCAAATAGTGACATAAATGTCCTCAGGATTCTATTTCTCATTCTTCCCTTGCACATTTATCTTTTGTAGCAAAGAAAGCAACCAACTACTAGCCACTGAGCTGGTCCGATGGACTGTGAATGATGGAGGGAAACCCTCCATCTATATATATGACGTTGTATGCCCTTGAGGAAGTTGGGAAATGTGAAAAATAGGGGGCAGGAGAAGTTGGGATCTACTGGCAATGGAAAGCTACTTGACCTGCAGCACTTCAAAATGCTTCCAAACTATTTCTCCCAGTAACCTTTCTGGAGTATCTGCTGAGCTAAAAGTTAATCATCTCATGTGAGAAGATCTCCATGAGCCACAACAATATGCAGACAAAGAAGACTGACTGCAACATTGGATTGGTACAGCCCTTACATATGGAAGTGCCCTTTTCAAGGCATTAAAGAGGAAGCATTTGAAACTTCCATTTTCCTGTTAATCAGAATTGTTTTTACAGGAAATTAAAGATGGATTCTTATTCTGTAAGTAATAATAAGTAATATGAGACCCTAACATCTGTGTTAAATCTAGCCCAATTATTAATCAGTGACATAGACGTTAGTTGTAACACTGAATATTTTACAACTAGTCCATAAAATGAAACTCTTTGACACTGTTTTAGGCATACCAGCTTATTTGGAGGATTGCAATAGTGGCAAATATCTGTAGCTCTGGTGTAGGATAAGGGTAAGGGTTTGAGGATTCATTCACCCAGCTTGTGGATTGGTTTCTGAATGGTTCATTACCAGGCTGGGTAACATCTTCTGCAGAGTTTAGGGGATGTCAGTGTTCTTCTGTTTTTAAAGGCTTCAGGTGTGGGTTTGTCAAGTGAGGGTCAGCTCTGAGTCATCAGTACAAGACTCACTAATGACTCAGAGCTGACCCATCCCTAGACTCTCACTTGACACCCACACCTGAAGCCCTTATAAACAGAAGAACACTGACATCCCCTAAACTCTGCAGAAGATGTTAACAGCTTGTTAACAAAACAGTTGGAAACCAACCCACAGGCCCAGAGAATGAACCCTCACCCTTACTTGGAGGATACAGCAGAGGCAAAATTGTGCCAAGGCTAATTTCTGATCCTTTCCTCAAAATCCAAATGCCCTGCTATAGAGCTTACCCATCACTTTCCCATGGTAGATTGGAATTCTCCCAAATGCAAAACAATAGATTCCTTTACTCATTAACTATGAAGCAAATGCTGGAAATATGAAGCATTTTGAAGCAAAAACCCTTTGGAAACCAAAACATATTGAGCATCAAAGCCCTCTTCATGGATTATACAAGAGCTGGCTGTTTTCCATACTGACATGCTTAATGGCACTAAAATCTATTGTCTTGAGCAGCATTTCTCAACCTTGGCAACTTTAAGATAGGTAGACTTCAACTTCCAGAATTCTCCAGTTGAAATCCACCCATTTTAAAGTTGCCATGGTTGAGAAACAGTGGTTTTTTCTTATCTTTATTATTAACACCTCATGGCCTCTTATCTCTTCAGAGAGAGAGAAAAAGAAGAGATGGTTAAGAACCACATTTAGATTAGAAACTTTTCCTACACTGATAACTTTATAATACATCCCATAGATTGTATAATATCACCCCAGTGTAAAAGAAGGGGATGATGAAGGCCATGTTTGAATTAGAAAAATCTTCCTAAACTTATTTAATTTATTGAATAGAATTTGGATTGGAGGGATAGCTATATTAAAGAAGGTTGACCAAAGGTAGGGCTGACCTGTTATTTGATAGAATAAGGCAAACACGGACAGACAGCAGATACAGGGGAACAGCAACGGCACTTAAGGCTACAGCTGTTCCCTTCTGTTGCAAGACAGATGCATTGGCTCAGGACCTTGGCCGTCATCCCAGGTGATAGGAGTGAAGTAATGCCCAACCAGCAATTCACTCAATTCCTGTAGGTGAAATATTAGAATGGATTCCAAACTATCTTGGGCCAAGCTTGTCCAAAAGCCCTAAGGCAGCTAAAGAAGACTGTCTCCTATTGAAGGTGATAAAATATAGGCAACCCCCCCTCCTCCTTCAGCATTATTGTCTCAAAGGTGCTTTTTCATAGAAAAAATGATAATAAAGGTTATCTTATCTTTTTTCAAAAGGCAACTGGACTATCTTTGTTTTGCTTGAAGACGTTTTACTTCTCATTCAAGAAGCTTTTTTAATTCAGAAATGAAGAAGCTTCTTGGATGAGAAGACACTTTTTTTCTCAAGACTTTTATCAATTTTCCTGACAGTGTGTCTAATTCTAGCAGGCATGATCAGCTCCTAGAAAATGTGAAAAAAATTCCTCAGAGCATAATTTCTTTGCAGTGCAGTTGTGAATTGAGAATTTTGTGTGTAGTCAGTAATTTGAAAGTAGTAGCCAATGCTATTTTTTCTCTCTCTCTTTCTGACACCCACAACCAAAAACTCTTTCTCTTCAGCTATCTTCTCTCTTTGTATTTTGAACTGCTGACTCTTGGAGGTGGCATAAAAACTACTGCTGCATAAAAAGACCTACGTGTTGTTCCAGAAAGCAGTTTAGGTTATCCCACCTTGGCTATGGATTTGGAAGGATTTGTCCTTCCAAAATGACTCATACGTAAAGATCGAAGGGCCTGTTTTGGCAATTCAAGCCATTTTTGATTGAGAATTAGTATTCTTTTTCTTCCGTGGAAAAAAGGGAATGATATTGGCAATAATGCTCAGAAATAGGTGACTTAGATTCATGGGAACATTTTAGCTCTAGTGGAATTGTTAGTGATAGGGGCTAAAACATTCAAAAAATAGTTGCAGGAATTTGGTGTGTCTAGTTTAATGAAAAGAAGGACCGGGGAGTGATATGATAGCCTTGTAAGGGATTGCCACAATGAAGGAGTCAAGCTATTCTCCAAAAGCACCTGAAGGCAGGACAAGAAGCAATGGATGGAAACTAATCAAGGAGAGAAGGAACCTAGAATTAAGGAAAAATTTCTAAAGAAGAATTTCTAAAGAAAAAAAATATTTAAGGCCTCTTCTTTCTTTGAGTGGCTAAAGAAGATTGCTGATCAGGGTAATTGCTCTGAGAAGGACAACAGAATACTTCTTGTCTACAACCCTTCTTGTCTTGAGAAAGAATATCCCAAATAGCCAGGATATTCAGGGTTGGACTAGCATATTATGTGCTGTCAAGAACAGGAAATTTACTAATAAAATCCCAGAAGGGAAGTGCAATGCACCTCCTTAGTAAACGCTGAGAGTTCAAACAGTGTTTCTCAACCTTGGTTGGTTGAAGATGTGTAGACTTCAGCTCTCAGAATTCCACAGCCAGCATGATGTGAAATTCTGAGAATTGAAGTCCACACATCTTCAATCAGCCAAGATTGAGAATCATCAATAGGATATTTGGGTTCCCTAACAACAGAAGAGGAAAAAATCAATAGGTAACTTTCTTTATTTTTTAGATTTATATCCTTCTTTAAATAGGAGTTGCACAAGTACTCCTCTCCTATTTTTCTCCAAATAATAACAATAATTCTGTTATACTTGGGTAGGCAGTGACTGACCTGAAGTTATCCAGTGAGCTTCTGTGGTTGAGGATGGGTTTGAACATGGATTTCCTCAGCGTCAGTCCCTTAACCATTACGTATATCACTGTTTTTCAGCAATAGTTTGTTATTTCGGAGAGAAGGTTAGTTATGGTTGATTAGCAAGGCTTTTTGAGTTCAAGATTAAAACAGGACTGCCTTTATAGAAAAATAAATAAAGAGGGTTAATTCTTTCAAGCAGAACAGAGCTGGGTAGACAGGAAACTTAATAGCCCTGGAACAATCCGGACGCAGAAGAAATTCAGGTTTGCGGTGGAGGAACTCAACTGCAACCTGAAGCAAAGTGATCGCTACAACCACTACACTTCCTTATCCAACACATTTCTTTGGGGTTCACTCATTAAAAGGATCCTGAAGACAGAACGCAAAGCAGAAGTGGAAGGAAGAGAAGACTGTGTGATGACAGGCCTGCAGCGTCTACAATCAGTTCCTAGCTTGCTTTCCATCTGCTCCAGGTCCTTTGGGTCCAGGAAGCCCATTTGCAGCAAATACAACGGAGGAGCAAGGATTCACTTAATTTAACAGGCTCTTGGCTATGCACTGCATAGCAGGGGAGGCCAAAGGGGATGTGGTTGCTGGAGCTATTGCTGTCAGGGCACGGCACAAACAGCATCTGACAACTGCAACCTCAGTCTTTATGCCCAGCTTAATTTTACCTTAGTCTCTTTTTTACTTCACTAACAGCCTTACATTTTCCACTTGAGTTGCCTGATAACCCAATGCTTTTCGGTTTCCATGGCAACAAGTTGCCTGCAAATCCTTCAACTCAATTTATGCGCTCATTTCAATATATGAAATGATTAATATAAGTGGTGAGATTGCCTCGGAAGGCCTTTCCTTCCAGCATTATTTACTATTATTATACATGCTAATTTTTGTGGATCAAAATTGATCAAAGATGAAGTAATCTGAGCTTCTTGCCTCCTGTGGTATTCTGAGGGGCAGCCATTAAATGTAGCAGAGTGCTTATATAGGAATTTTTATTTTCTTTTTTTGGCAACAGATTTTCCTTGACTAGCCCTAATGCTCCATGTCAGGCTGCTATTCGCAGGAACAGCAATAACCATAAAACCATAAAATTGGGCAATCTTGAGGTTGTGAATTAATGTAATCCATTTAATTATCTTTGAAGCAAAAAAAAAAAAAAAGATATTCACTCCAATTCTGTAAAGAAAAGTTCATTCTAAATAAATACAGAACTGCCAGGACTTATTTTGGAAAGATCGCTATTTGGAATGGTCATTAAAAAAATAATCTATGAAAATTTAGCGAATGAGTGCTTATTTGGAAGGATCTGAGAAGAAAGGGGGAATTAAAATGTAAAAAAATCTTGGAAAACAATAGTAAAAATGGTTCCAGAAGATATCAAAGATTTATTTAATGAGTTCCTTTGAGTCCATACTGCCTATGGCTACTAGACAATTACCAGAGAGCTTTCTGTATCTCTCCACTACAGACCAAATGTGGCATCCCAGTTTTGGTAGCCTTAATACAGCCTTATGTGGAACACAATAATCTGAATAGCAATGGAGATAGTAACTGAATATATGTGGCTCTTTGAATACAGTTAAAATAAAATACCTATGCAGTAGAGGCATAATTTGACCTATGAGTCTTTATAAGCTCTACACATAAATTTAATAAATAAATGAACAAAGAAATATGTATAACAATTGCACAGATGGCTTATAAATGCTTCTCAAATGGCATCCATCTTTTCAAACTTCACCTTAGGGCTACAATATCTTCATCAAAACATTTCACAAGGTTAGCAAATTCTCCTCACTCCAGCCCCCTCTGCCCCCCAAAAGGCATAGTGTTTTATAGTACAATCCTAGCCATTGTTTAAAGTTGCAAAGAAACCAAACCACTCTAGTTTGCCATGTATCAAAATTGATGGCCATGCCATTGTGGTACCATAATTAAATCATTCTTCTATTTCAGATTGAATGGAATTGATTTCAAAAAGATACAAAGAGTTGAATATGACCTGGATATCTTGCCGCATTCCACATCTTGTTAAAGAGAGATTAATGTACATCTTGTTACACAGAATGATAATGTATTTTATTTTGGCTTGGTTACCGTTGAGTTGGGATAGCTTATTTAGCTTTGGGCACAAGAGCATAAGAAGGTTGTTGACAGGAAATTCTAAGAATAACTATACAAATGCTAAAAGTGTCAAGAAGACTAATATATGAGAAAAAGTTGAGAGAATAGGATATCTTTAGGGCTCCTTGCAGTTTTCAGGGCCTTTTCTCTGGCATTAGGGAATTCCATGGAGATGTGCAACATTTGCTCAGCTGACAAATCAATGGAGGCTGCAGAAAGATTTCTGGAGGGCAAGAACTATAAAACCCATTACTTTAGTTTGGGGGGAAAGCCTGGAGGAGACGCATAGATGAGACAATTTTTCATGTGAGGAAGAATGGAAAAGTTATTCATCCTATCTGCTAAAAGATCAGTGAAAGAGGCAATAAAATTAAATTTAGGAATGACAGAGGTTTCATGTCAGTGTGGATAAACGTGCAGAATACAAAGTTGTTTATTGTGGCCCAAAAGCCTTCCAGAGATCTTTGCTCAAAGAAGCATATCTCTTTCAGCACGAAGAGCTTGCTAGTGCTCAAGCATGTATTTTGTCACTGGATAAATGGGAGCTTTTAGCTAGCGTTTCAGTTGCTATTTCAATTGTTGTGTAAAATATGTTTGCATAAGGGTCATAGGCTACACCCCATTATGTCCATCAAAATCAGAGACTGTACCACTTGAACAAGGGTGCTCCTAATTCTGTACAAAGCTATGCCCTTCCACTTCAACAGTGTCTCAACATTTCAACAAACTTTACCCCCTTCCCTAAGAAAAATTGTTCTAACAGCATTGGATCATTCTAGAATAATTTCCTCACAAGTTACAACATAATGATTTTTGACAAGAACCTCTGATAGCCTCATCCATTCAAATGTCAAGTCATATTATCAGGTTAAAAATAAAACCAACAATAGATTCCTCCACAGGATTGCATGATTATAAGGGCCTGATTATATGTAGCTTATATTAAAGATCTGGACAAGATACGAGAACGCAGCTATGAAGGCCAAACACTGTATTTAGAACACTGTCTCTAAATGAAATAAATTTTCTATTTCAGACTATGATAATTCCCGAGGAAACCCAAAATCTCGTATATATGTGCTTTGCAGCAAACTGCAGTGACTCTGTATGTGTGTTGATGTCATCGCACAAATGTGACTTACTTGAGTCACAATGTCTGATTCAAGAACACAAGTCATAGCATTTGTATAATGACATCATTATGCATGTTTTGTTTATATCCTACCCATGGATACTTTTATTTGTACATTTTAAAAATTTGGTAGCCCTAACAATTTCAGGCAAATTGTTTTGTCTCTTTAAAAATTGATTAGTGAATTATATTTAAAATGCTCTTTTGGGCTTGCTTGTTTAATTGATTGGACAGTTGGACAGAAGTCTATCTGTCATCATTTCCACTACAGGACCTAACATTAGACTGCAATTCCTGAGATAGATTCCTTGGGAACCTAATCATTATTTTTAAATAAATATTAGAAAAGCTGTGACCTATTGGATCATTGCTTCAGCGGTATTTCCTTATGAAACTCTTCTGTGCCTTTAACCTTCAACAATGGCAAAGTTTCTAAATATACTTGAAAAGTTCTTTAAAATTTAGGGAAATATTCATGGATGTAACTGTGTTAAAGGTAACCCATGTTAAAACGTATAGCACAGTCAAACATCAGGAAATGTTTTATGACATTTTGCATTATGTCATAAACTGGTTTATGATAATGTTTATGTCATAAAACATTTTATAAAATTGATCAAATTTCTATTCCATGGATGTCATGGGTACTGGTCTGGACCAGTTTTTGGGATGCATGCTGTAAATTAACCTATTTGAGGTACTTTGGTTGAAAAAGCTTTACACCATTTCTCTCAGTCACACACACAAGAGTTTTAGTAGAATATAGATGGGAATCCATTCTCAACATAAATCCAGTTGAAAGATATGATAACTACCTTTATTTTAGTGTTCTTGAGCCACAGACTGGGGTGCAAAATCATGGCTAAATTGGTATTTAATATACAGCGACTGAACTGAGTATTGCCTAGGCCAAACTGCCAAAGCAGTTAAAGATAATTTTCTGAGTGGGGAAATATAGTCAACTTTAATTTTTGAACATAGGTTACACTTGAACAAAATCTTCTGAAACTTGACTGTTAATTGCTTGTCACTTGTAATTATAAGGAATCATTTACATCTTGGATTTGTAAGAAATAAAATTAAAATTAAATGCCTCGCTTCCCAGTAATATGTACTACTTTAAAAAGGTTTAAAGTATTTGGGTTAGGAGACTATTCACTGGAATTTTCACAAAGCAATCTGAGAAACAGTTTAAATTTTCCCCTAGATTTTCAAAACATATAATGTACTTTTAAAAACATAAGAAGAACCAGAGTTTTTCTAGATTAGATCAAAAGCCTATTTAATCAGCATTCATTTCTTCAAAGACGTATCAGAAGCTTCTGAGACATTTGTAAAACATGGGCATCAAATTTTGTTTGAATTCCCTACTGGTTGATATTTAGTTATAGAAGGCATTTCTGTGATCTTAACTCTGCTCTACATTTTTTTCTTTCCTTTTTCCCTTTCCAGATTCCAAATAGAATGGCAATGCAGCAAACGCAGCTCTGGCTAATGAAGATTGCCCCACAATTGATCAGGCCCTGTCACCTGAGGAGAAGTCACCTGTCACACCTGGTGGCCGAGAGCGCTATAATCGTGACCGAGCCTGCTTCCTCCTCTCCACGGGTGATTTTGGGCAGTCACCTGATGGAAACATCCGAAAAGGTACGTGTACATACATCACCATCATTTCCCCCTGCCTATTTCTGCAAAGCTTGCATTCCATCCTCTAAGCTTATACCCAAGTACGTTATTTTCCACCCTTATCACTAATACCACCATAACCTTTGTCTTAATAAAATGTAGAGCTGCCACTTTTAGGGGATAAAGAGGACAATTGCAAATATGTAACTGACTTAAGTAAAAGTCTAATCCTGAGATAAAAATGGACATAATGTCCTAGCAACTATCAAGATCTCCATTTGTTCCACTCTAGTATCTTAATAACAGTATGCATCGTTCAAGGGACAGCAATATCTACTATTACCTTTCCCAACCTGGTGCTTCCAGACATGTTTGACCATAATCCAGAGAACGCATTGGCCAAACTGATTGGGAATTCTGAGAGCTGTAGTCCAGTCTATCTAAATCAGTCTTTCCCAGATTGAGAAAACCTGCCACAGTACCTCCTTCCAGAAGACAATCTATGAACACAGCTGATTTTGAGCAGTTGAGATTTTGGGGAGAAGCTGGATTCTCTACCAGCATCACCAGTCAAAACTCTTGTTACATTATCTGCACACTTCCCCAGCTTCATTACCTCCCCCTTCCCCCAAAAAAGTTATATTTCCCTTATAAGCTTTTGCTTTTTCATCAGTATCCCCCATCCCACCACGTTTTCTCCCCATGTGTATCATTCTGTCTCACAATATTCGGCTGCAGTTGCTCTTCAGGTGTTTCAGGTTGTTCTTTTAAGGGAGGTTGCAGCAAATGACAACTAGTTATTTTACAGGAGTTTATTGGAAAGTCAGAGAAGTGACCATAAAGTGTTTGAGGTTATTTCCCATTCTCCAAATTTGTATTAATAGAAGGGGGAGGGAGTAAATCTTGGGCTTAATTGACTTGCTTCAAATTCCTGCAACATTTTCATCCGAAACATAGAAATAATAAGTCTCTAGTCAGAGATCTTGTAATGGAAGATTTTCCCTATTGGAAACCCTATTAGACTAGTGAATCTCAGCCTTGGCCACTTTTAGATGGATGGACTTCAACTCCCAGAATTCCCCAGCCAGCCTTATCCTTAGCTGGCTAGGGAATTCTGGGACTTGAAGTCCACCCATCTTAAAGTGGCTAAGATTGAGAAACATTGTTCAAGACTATAAACCTAATTGAAGACCTACTGGCCTAAGTGAAGAACCACTAGCCTGAGGTTCCCCAAAATGATAATTATCAACCTCCAGGGGCTGAGGGGAACATCCAAGGGTTTGTTGCTGGAAAAGACTGAAGGCCAAAGGAGAAGGGGATAGCAGAGGATGAGATGGTTAGATAGTGCACTCATGCAATGAACATGAATTTGGGCAAATTCCAGGAGGCCGTGGGGAGAACAAGAAAACCAGGGATGCTATGATCCATGGGCCACAAAGAGTTGGACACAACTTAACAATTGAACAACAACAACAAATATTTATTAAATCATTCCCATATAATAAATGTTTGGGGGGGGGGGTCAGTGAAGAATTTGAAGCTTCATGAAGAGGTTGATAAGCTGGCATTTTGCAACTCTTGCATTAGTCAGCCATAGCTGACTGTTTTATAAAATAAATAAATTTCCATATAAAAGAGAATCATGTTCCTTCCACTCAGCTTGCTCTCAGGTAGTCCTCGATTTATAACTTCATTTAATGGATGTTCAGAATTAAAACCACACTGAAAAAAGTTACTTATGACCAGTTCTTACACAGATGACCATTGCAGCATCCAGTAGTCACATAATCAAACTTTGGGTTCTTGGCAATCAACATGTATTTTACAATGGTTATAGTGTCCCTGGGACTGTCTGCAACTTTTGCAGTCGAGCCTCTGACAAGCAAAGTCAATGGAGTAGGCTAGATAATGACTGCATGATTCACTTAACAACTGTAGCAAAAAAGGTTGTAAAATGGGGCACAACACACTTCACAACTGCCTTGCTTAGCAATGGAAATTTTGGGCTTAATTGTGATTGTAAGTCGAGGACTACCTGTATTCTGCCCTTTCCTATTCAAAAACCCTGCAGACGCCAACTCCCTTGAGCTTAACAGGGATAGGTCACAAATTCAGTACTGATATTATTGGATAGGAAATCGCTACCAATACCCAAACAATGCTTCTTTCTCAGTTTCTTCCTCCCTGTTTCCTTCAAAGAGTTCCCCTGTCAAAACTTCTATTGTTTTTTAGACACAGGTGATTCTCAAGAGAGAGATGTCAGGAGATTTCAGACTGCTAATTTAGGGTCAGGAAGCTGAATGCTTAGTGCTTATCCAGGAACCGTGTATCATGCTGGGCAAGTAACTTGGAACCGTATAACAAAAAGGCAAAATCTCACATCTTTTAGTATTAGGGCTACAATATCTGGCTTGCAAAATGCTGGTTAGACATTAAAAGGTAAAAGGTTCCCCTCGCAGATATGTGCTAGTAGTTCCTGGCTCTAGGGAGCTGTGTTTATCTCCGTTTTCAAAGCTGAAGAGCCAGCGCTGTCCAAAGATGTCTCCGTGGTCATGTGGCCAGCATGACTAAATACCAAAGGCACACAGAATGGTGTTACCTTCACACCAACGGTGGTTCCTATTTTTCTACCTGCATTTTTACATGCTTTTGAACTGCTAGGTTGGCAGAAGCTGGGACAAGTAAAAGGAGCTCACTCCATTACACGGAGGTAGGGATTCGAACTGCCGAACTGCCGACCATTCTGATCGACAAGCTCAGCGTCTTAGCCCCTCTAAGCTGTCATCTAGGCATCATCCAAAGTTTTACAGCTTACATACAGTCTCTCTGCAGTACAGGTAGTCCTCGGCTTATGACCATAATCGGGACCAGAATTGCTGTTGCTAAGCAAGGTGTTAAGTGAGTTATGCCCGGGTTTGCAATCTTTTTTGCCATGGTTGTTAAATGAAAGATACAGTTGTTAAAACTGGCTTCCCCCATTGACTTTGCTTGACGAAACTGGCTGGAGTGGTCACAAATGGCAATTACATGAGCCAGGGGTGCTGTAATTATCATTAAATACATGCCAGTTGCCAAGCACCCAGATTTAGATCACATGACTGTGGGGATATTACAATGGTTGTAAATGCAGTTTTAAGTTACTTTGTGTGTGTGTGTGTGTGTGTGTGTGTTATTGTAACTTTGAATAGTTGCTAAACCAATGGACAAAGAAAATGTCTATGGAGATTCTCAGTCATCCAGGTCACGGTTGTCCCAAAGGTTCTTTTTTTTCAAGAGGACTTTCTGTTTTTTCTTTGAAGACGTTTTGCTTCTCATCCAAGAAGCTCATCCAAAGCTGAAGAAGCTTCTTAGATGAGAAGCGAAACATCTTAAAAGAAAAACGTCTTGAAAGAAACTCCAGTTGCCTTTTGAAAAAGCACCTTTGGGACAATGGACGACGACTACATGTATTCAGATTGACTTCCAAATCAGTTCCAAATTTATTGATCAATCATTAAAAAATTTTCATAATTTTTATTAATTCTGCTATTCTATTCAAAATTCCCAGTCCATATTGTTGTTGGTTTTTTTTAAATCACTCATGCTAACTACATGACCAAATAACTGGTTAGGAAAATATTAGGTTGTTGCTATTGTTAACTCTGGATATAGTGATAATTAACTTTAGACTGTCAATGACACATCTGAAATTAATATTGCTGGAAAAGTTGTTGGTCATTTTTATGGAACTTTGCATCAACACTTTGCAGTCCTTCATTCTGCATTAGGTGAGACTTGACTGTAATTGTGTTCATCTCTCTGTGTGAAAAAGAATAAGAGGCTGTGATCCCTCTAGTCCAGAAGTCATTGTCAGCATGTTTGTGTGCTGTGTAAGTTCTGGTCTAGCATCTGTCAGAAACTGATCTTAGCAGCAGGCAAACTTTCAAACAGAGACAGGGTTGCCCCTGTCACAGCAGGCAAACAGGAGGTGACAGCAAACGAAAGCTTACAATGACTTTAATTCCACTAAGGAAGTGAGAGCTTTCATGGTGTTGCACAGTGGAGAAGACCAGCAAGCAATGGACAAGGAAAAAGCACAGAGGTGGAACAATCATCACAAAGTCCAAATTCTGACAATCACCTTTCTATTCCAGAGGCGTAGACATTTGACCCAGGATTAAGTAGATTACAAAATATTTTCATTGGCCTTATTTCTGTTGGCATAAGGGTAGGCAGACTTTTAAGTTCATCCAGTGGAATGAAGGGAGTCCTTCATATAAAGAAGCAGACAGGGTTAATCAAATCATTTTTCAATGAACGAGTCAGTTAAAACAGAAACAAAAGTTCTGAAGGCAGAAAGACAATTCCCTTTGATTTTAAGTGGGATGTGCATATCCAGTACAACTGCACAGGATTCAGAGAGCCTTTTCTTCCTGAAGGAATGTGGTTCCCTTAACAGGAGGGATGCGGGAGACCCCTTGCAGGGTAGGGCTGAGGACTATGCTCAATTCTTGGCGGACAAAATAGCTCGGTTTCGGTCGGACTTGGACTCCACCGCAGTAGATCCAGCCGAGACACAGGAGGACCGCTTGGCAAATCATCTCTGGGTTGAGTTCCAGGATGTTGCCTCTGGGGATGTGGACAAGGCCATTCGAGCTGTAAGTGCCTCCACCTGTATTCTGGACCCGTGTCCCTCCTGGCTGGTTGCCAACAGCAGGGAGGTGACACATGGCTGGATCCAGGCGGTCGTGACCACCTCCCTTCGGGAGGGGCACTTCCCCGCCGTACTTAAAACGGCGGTGGTGAGACCCCTCCTGAAGAAACCATCCTTGGATCCAGCCATTTTAAACAACTTTCGTCCTGTCTCCAACCTCCCCTTTATCGGGAAGGTTGTTGAGAAGGTGGTGGCCTTCCAGCTTCAACGGGCCTTGGAGGAAGCTAGTTATCTTGACCCCTTCCAGTCCGGCTTCAGACCTGGTTACAGCACAGAAACCGCTTTGGTCGCATTGACCGATGATCTCTGGAGGGCCAGAGATGGAGGC